CTAAGTCAAATTTTAATGAAGTAAGTCATAATTTTGACTAAGCAACTAGAAACAAAGGACTTTATGCCATAGTAGTCCATGGCACAAATGACGATCGCCATTTCTCGACATGGTTGTGGCATCGAGTATACATCTGGTGTTGCCATTTGTGCGCCATTGTTATTTACTCAATTTCTTGTACCAGATTAAGTACGGGAACTGCGACCATAACACCCATCGAGCAGGACCAGCAACCACCCAGCACCCATCTGACCACCACCAAGCGCCTGGCGACCACCCAACAGCCATCCGACCACCACCCAGCGACCGGCAACCTCCCAGCGCCCACCCGACCACTACCCAGCGTCCACCCAACCACCACCAAGCAGCCGACGACCACCCCGCTACCAGGACACGATTAGTAACACCAAAGATGTCAACAAAGGGTTGTGTTTCCTGCGGGAAAAGACGCAGATAATTCATCCCCATATATATTCGTGTTGTAGCTATAACTCCAATATATATGTGAGTTTCATTACCATTAGTGCATATTCTGTATTTATGTATTATGATTTACGCATATCAGATAATCAGTATGTGATTTATTGTGTGTGATATATTTATATTAAATGTGTCGAGTATGTGATATATATGAAGTCATATATACTGTACGGTATATTATTGTGTACTACCTCCGTTCTTTTTTAAATGCAACGTTGGACTTTTTACACTATTCACATATTATACTTTGACTCTATTTTATTTATTAATGTATTATAAATTAAATTTTTAAAAAATATTGTTAAATTTCTATCACTTTAAATTTTCATAATCTAAATTTTTTAATTTTTTTTACTAATAAGGAATGGAAGATATTAATGGTCAAACTTGTGCGTTGGCAAACGTGAAAAGTGGACCGTTGCAATTAAAAAAGAACGGAGGAAGTATGTTATATTATATTGTTATGCAGATGTTATGTGACGGTATGTTTTGGACTTGCAGTTGTATGTTTATTTTATGTTTGATTAGCATTTTGCTATTTACTTTGAGAGTATATGTACTTCGTCACACTGTGTTGAGTACATCTTTTTTTATGTTTCATTAATGTGGTAAGTTTGAGCAGGTTCACAGCATATTTATTTAGTGTGTTAACTATTTGCACCATTGCCATATTTGCGCCATTGCCATAATTGCGCCATCGCCATCGCCATCGCCATGGAAAACCACTCCGCACCATAAAGGTCGCCATGCGTCGTGACAACTTTGTTTTTAACTATAACTATAAGAAACTAAAACAAAATGCCCTATTCATGCACTCAACATTCAGCATTAGGCAGTCCACTTAGCTGCAGGTGAAGAAAAAGGAAACTATAAGATGGCCCTCCATAACTACATCCCACAATTCCAAGAGCATACCTACCCAAAAAACTTAATGACCATCGAAAGAGTATCCCTACCCCAAAAAAACTAAATGCAACCCCAATAACAGACATACCCCAACAACGTAATAAACAACCCACCAAGAGCATACCTATCCCAATAATCTACCTCAACTATGCTGATGCTAGCATTAATTATACCTCATTGTCAAAAAAGGAAGCACATAACTGTTATTGAACTTGGATTTGCTATGTTAAACCTACAGTTCTCTTATTAAATTGATAAGAACTTAATCGGCCAAATGTAGATTACCTTTTGAGTTTTGATCAAATTTTACGAAATTGAAGTAAATAATAAAAAAAAGAACCATTATTCTATCCAAAATAAATAATACATTAATAATTTCATACGTAGTATCATATTGTTATACTCAAATTCCTACCTACATCAGTCCATTATCTATTCTACAAGTTTCTCTAACAAACTCCTATAAAATTAGATAGTAATGATTTTTCCTGCCAAGTTTTTTTACAATCCTTCCTTTTCTAGCAGTGGACTGTGGACGACGCCCTTCTGAAAATATAAGTGAACTTCAACAAATCCGAAGTATTAAATTAATTTGAGAAGAAAGTGTCAAACAAAAAAGAAAACCAACCAAAACACCCAAATGACTGGCATGTTTACCTCAAGCTAGAATTTACCCAAAGAATATGCACGTGTTAATTTCGACTATCAACTTTAACTTTTAAATCTTCCGCTTTAGGTGCACAAGATGTATTCCTTTTCACTTTTAGTCCTCCCACTACTTATTAGGTCAATTTTTGGTTGTTTTTTACTAGCCATGTGACAAGAAGCGACCAAAATGACAAGAAATTAATAGTACCACACCGAAGAAGGGAAAATGAAAGTCGGGGATAACCAAAGGAACAACTTAATAATCATGTGGCCAAAAATGAATAATTTAATTTGGTGCAATGACCAAGTGGAATAGATCTCCTGGTTTATCTAAACAATCTAGTTACTGCATGGACCAAATCACTTCATGGTGAAACCCATTAAGATTGCAAACAATCAAGACCTTCCTTTACTGCAACAACTACAGTGAAGTTACTACAATAATCCATCACAAATGATCAAATAATGACTCGCTCACCGTTTGGTTATGAGTTCAAGATTTCAAGCCACAGAAACAGCTTCTCCCACCACGCATGCTTCATAACTCTGGCTATAGTTGAAGAGAATGAAGTGCATATATGACCCGCCTTTTATGAAGAAGTGTTCTTGAAAGTTAGAAACTCAAGCCTTGTAGCTACAAGGAATCTAGGATTGCCACAAACGGATTCAACATTAGAAGAAAGATGTTTGGTATAGTTATCAATGTCTTTTATAATGCTAAGGGGATGTTCCATGTAGGTCGCAGTAAGTCATTTTTTTATTAGGAATTTCTTATATTTGGTTTGAAGTTTTATATTACTTGTAGTATTTTTGTCAAGCCATTCAATTGTAAGAATGTTTTCTTTTGGACTGTTTTCAGTCCTAGACCAGACCAGACTATACCATACCAGACCAGACCAAAATTAAACAGAACATATTAGACTAGACATATCAGTAAATTTCAGTCCAGAAGAAAACATCTTAATTTCAAGCATGCTTTAAAAAAAGTGACTTGGCACAAAAATTTGAATAGTGCCTTACAACGCAAATACAAATTTTAATGCTTACATAACAAAGAAGGAAATGAGAGCAGTGGGCTTTCAATGAACTATCCCTACTTTTTCTACACTATTTATTACTCATACTATTCATTCATTAAATATTGTAGCAAACAATAGAACATGGAGGAGTATACATTAAGATGTAGGACACCCGTAAAATAGTAATGACTTATCAATATCAAGCTCTTGCCTGATTTTAGTGGATTTGTAAATCGATCCCATCTGTCTAAAACATATATATCTATATTACTATTATTATTATTATTATTATTATTATTATTATTATTATTATTATCTATATATATATATATAATACTCCATAGTAAAAGGGATCTTGCTCAACAAGTTCATGCCAAAAAGATATGTAACCAGAAAGTTCTGAAGAAACAATCTACTCTTTCTCGTGATGTATTAACCGGTGTGCATGATATAAACATTCATCTGGTATATGGGATCGTTTACAAAACATTTTATGTCTGCTACTTTACCTAGAGCCATAGAACTTAAGAGTACCTTGAATTCGATTAAAAAGAAAGGTAATTAGTCTATGGAACACTACTTGCGTGATATTAAAAATCTGGCTTATGCTTTAGCTGCAATAAAATCTCCTGTGACTAACAAAGAATTATTGCAATGCACTTTATACGAACTGGGACCTGAGAATGTATCAATTGCGGGAACCATCTCCCTATTTCTTGAAAATTTTCCATCAGATATTCTTCATCCTAGATTGTTAGAGGCGAAACAACGAATTTTGTTTCAGCGGCAACAAGATGCTTCACAATTTCAGTCGGCTTTTCGAGCCCAAGCCAGTACTGGTCAGCAAGTACAGCCCTGACAGCAGCCTGCCTATGGCGCTTACTGCGGCAGAGGAGGCCGCAGCAGGGGAAGCTTTCAGCCGCAGCAGGGCTTCGGGCAGCAAGCCCATCCGCCATAGCAGGTCTTCGGCTAGCAACTTTATTAGTCGCAGGGGCATCTGCCAGCACCCAATTCTTCGGCCGCGGGGGGTGTGTTTAATCCGAGACCCAACAATGTTTCACATGGTAAATCTGACATGTCCACTTTAAATATTAATGCTAAATCTATTTCTAATACTCACTTTCATTATGTAGGTTTCCCGTCAACTCATGGTATTCTTGGTTCATTTCCTCCCTTGCTTGTGTGTCAAATGTGTTTCTCTGCAGGTCACTCCGCATTGCACTGTCTCTCCCGTTTTTCACAGCCTTCTGCGCCTGCTTTGGTTGCACCGAGTGGGGAATTTAACGATATTTTGTGGTATCCGGACTTAGGTGCTTCTGCTCACATGACATCGTCTGAGGGTATTCTCAAATAAATCTCCTTATTATGACATCATGTCTGTTAGTGTTGCAATTGATATTGCTAATATTGGTAATATTACATTAAATACTCCTAGTGCCCGCTGTCATTAAAATCTTTTTTTCATGTACCTCAAATTAAATTTAATTTAATTTTCATTCAAAAATTGTATGCTAATAACAATTGTGCTGTTGTTTTTGATAAAAACTCTTTTTTGTTAAAGACAAAATTTCAGGGGCGGTTCTTCTTCAGGCGCGTCATAATGGTCATCTCTACCCTGTCAGCCTCAGTCCTCCTGCACATCTAGCTCTAGCTTCAGTCATTGCATTCGTATGATGTTTTTATTATATTGACATTTTGTGGTAATAAGTTGTTTTTCATTATAATTTTTAATTAAACTTTATGTAATTAATATTTTTTTAATTAATAAAATATTCCTCCGTGCATAAGTGATATACTAGTTTTAGGAAATATAAAAATGAAATTTTATCAATTCAAAACCCATAAAAAGTGTCTTAGCACACCCATTTGTAAATTCTTTTTGAAAAGATAATGTTTATATTGAAATCATAGAACCGACGGTCATACATCATACTTGTCACCTACCCACTCACTCTCTCTTGATTCAATATAATCAATAGATCTCATCGTTCTCTGACCACATATAGAATAATTGTCCAAAATTGAGCTAGATTAATCGTTGAACATGTAAGATATTCGAACAATCCAACAACAATGTATATTGTCGAACGAAATAAAAATAAAACTTGAAATAAAAATAAAGCGAAGCTTGCAGGTCGCCAAACCCAAGTTTGAAACATCCTTCCAAACCTTAAATTCTCATTCACTCTATGGCGGCGGTTTAGATGGGAAAAAATCATCAACACTTTATCAACCTTTTTCCTTCATCCAACCCTAGACGTTAGCCCACCTGTTCGAAGGCATCCAACTCACCTTGTTCCTGTTCCATGTCGAAACTCATTGTATCTCTCCACGAGTGTGTCATCTATTGCACCCGAACTGCCTCCTACTTGGAAGTTCGTTGCCCCAACCCAAATATTTTAAGCCCAACGCCATTCATTAACTTGCATCAAAGAAACATGTGAGCAAACAGCCACAACCGTAACCCTAGGCCAAAGAGCCTCATGTCCGCTACGTGTTTTACGTTTTTCACCCATTTGTAAATTTTAAAGGCTAAAAATAATTTCAACAAAGAAAAATGACTCAAACTAATATTCTAACATAAATAGGGAGATTCACCTTAATATAAATATGGAGTTTAGCTCCTAAACTAATCCCTGCCACCAACGCTCGGTGAATGAAAATATTGTTATGACCCGGGAATCGTCATTAATTTGTTACACCTCCTCCGTCCTTTATAACTTTGTCAACTTTTTTTTTCTTTTTCTTTTTTGGATGTCTCATTAACTTTGTCACTTTCCCTTTTAAATAAAGAATTTATGGTTCCAGTTAATTCTTTTTCCTCTGCACAAACCTCAATCACACAGTTTTTACTTTATTAATCAACGTGCCGATCAACTTTGACAAAGTATTGAGGGACGTATTTATAACCACTCCTGCTCTAATAACTCAGCCCCGCTGCGTGTACCCAATGAAGCATTCCTATAATCCTATCAATAACAGTTTAATAAGGATTCCTCCCTCATAAGGCATACCAAGTATATAAGTATATTCATCAAGTACATCGTATAATTTGTATTACTTTCTAATACTTCATATAAACTAAAATAATACAGTAATATACAAGTATAACATAATAAAAATAAATGTTAACATTACGTTGAAGGCTGACTGCTTTAGTACACTAAAACTACTCTTCACCAAAAGCATAGAACATTTCATTTTCATTTACCCCAGTGCCGCAAAGGCTCCCACCTACGGTGGGGTAAGGGAGGTCAGATGTACGCAGTCTTATCCGTATACTAAAGCACAGAGAAACTATTTCTGGATGACCCATAATGAAAAACGCGTCCAAAATTGCATGGACTGACTGCTACTTCATAACTCCATCATATTCTCAAGCCAAAAAATAATGAATCTTTGGCTCCATTGCAAATGATGGAAGTCAGAACACACTACATTCTTTACTAACTATCATCATTCATATCGTCACTTTCCTCGTCATCATCAGAATAATAGCTAGATGAGCTCTCACGAGTACGCCGCATCGAAAGAATAGGTGGTGCATGAGTTGGTTGATTTGCAAGGGAGGCGCTCTTGAGCACCGTTTAGATGATGTAGGTTGTGTCAAACCAGTGAGACCAAACTGTAGAGGTTGATCCCCCAACGTTTCATGTTGTTCTTGAGAGTATGTCATCTGAAAAAGTTGGCTGAAGGATGCATGTTGTTGTTGTTTGAATGGTAATGATTGTTGGGGTTGTGACATCTGCCCAAACATAGATGGGCATATCGATCAAAACATAGATGCTCATAGAAGAATTGAAATAGGTTCTTTGTTCTAGATTTTCTTCCATCAATTTTTAATTTACTGTCTTAAGCTCTGTCATTCCAACTTGTATCGTCTCCGTTTCATTCTTAAGCTCAACAAATTGACGCTCCAAAACAATATTATAATCGTCATATTCTAAAAAAATTATTTATTAAATAATATTTCTATGCAGCAAAAAATTGTAAGCAGAAGAGAATGGGTCTAATGGTACAACTGGAGTACTGAGCTTAAACAAAACAATTACTTTGGAGTTTATTTTGCTTTTAGCATTGTCATATGCAATAACGGAGTCAGGATTCTATTGGAGGGGGGGCCAAAATGTACTACGTATAACAAACTATCAAATGTATCATATAAATACAAAAACGCATTGTATTAAAATTTGTTGTGTAGTTGAATATATTCTTCAAGATTTTGTAGGACGATTAAAAAAATCAAAATATTATAATGACATGTTCAATTTTTCAAAAACTTTCTTCTATAAGATGAATAACTCTTTCTACTTAAATGAAAAGGAAATAAAGTAATAGATTTAAACTTATACTCCGTATATATTATTCATAAGTAATACGTTGTATATATTTCATCACTTTAATGTAAAAGAATAATATATTAAGTGGATGACTTATTCCAAAGTACTAGAAAAAAATAATTAACTAAAGAAATTAAAATTTCAAAACACAACAAAGGGAAAAACTTTTACCAAACACTATGCATACCTCCGTCCCTGGTCATATGCCTCCACCTCCACATAGGATAAATTACAGTAAGTAGTAAAAAACTCCCAAACTGATAAAATATATTTATAAATAGTGGATTTTAATTATACACAAAAACATAGATACAAGAGTTTTACGTAGTAGTATACACAAAAACATAGATACAAGAGTTTTACGTAGTAGTATACCGTACCTCCTCCGGTTGAGATAGTTGCAACAAATGAGGATGAGATAATTGTCCTGCCGAAATGAATCTCTTCCCATTCTTCATTGAAACAGTCCTAGGTATCATTCTCTTTCTATTCTTCAATGATCGTGGTTCATTGGAAAGCCTAAAAATCTCACCATTTTGCTTAACGGATATGGCTTCCATGTTTGAAATTTTATTCTCCAAATCTAAGTTGGACATTTGCAATTCGTTGATCTTTTTCACATCTGACTCTATCTTCTTGTATGTTATATTAAGTTCATTAAATTTTTGTCTATTTTTTTCACTTATGTCATTTGCAATTTTGTTATAATTCTTCCATCTAATTCTCTTCCATCAACTCTGAAATCTTAATGTCTTTCAAACGTAAAATCCTTTGGCATTTTCTTTTGTGCCTCCTTAGTTCTCTATCTGATGAAATACCCTACAAAAAAAATTTAAGCATACATGTAACATAATGCTAGCAAAACTGAATGTACAAGAAAAATTATAAAGAATTTACTTTGTCACTTGTAGAACACTGCATTTCACTGCACTTTCTGAGATACTTCAACTCACATTAATTGTTTCCTACCAAGGAAACAATTAGATATGAAAAAATAACAAGGTCTCAATGAAATCTATGTTTCCTACCAAGGAGAACGGAGAGCTAAGTCTATTTCTATAAATACTGTAACAGGCCTTCAGTGCTTCAGCTACTCTAACAGGCGCTAACTCTCATATGTGCCTCGCCTGGTGCGCTTAAGCGCTCAGGCCCGCACTTGTGACTAACCTAACTGTAATGATCATTACTGTAATCTTGAATGGAGAGCTGTTAGATAAGTTTTTAAAAATAATAACTGTTTGTAATCTTTGAATGGGGAGCTCTTAAATAATCTTGAATGAAGAGCTGTCTGATTATAACTGTTTGTGGCATTTGATTTGGTGCTTCTCTACAACACCTCCCATAATAATAGATAGTAATGATTTTTCATGCCCTGTTCCTTAATAATCTCCCTTTTCTAGTAATGGACTATGGACGACGCCCTTTTGAAAGTACAAGGGGGCTTCAACAAATCCGAAGCATTAAATTAATTGAAACGAAAGTGTCAAACAAAAAAGAAAACCAACCCATACACCCAAATGACTGGCATGATTACAGCAAGGATCTAGAAATAGACAACAAAAATTGAGTGTTATTTAAAAAAGGGTACCTTTTAAATAGTAATTATACAGAGAAATCGTGGTGCAAAGCATTCGGCCGGTTGTACTCTAGCTGGAACGTAACCTTGAAACCGAGTCATAGCCAATACAGATGGAGGCGCATGACAGTGGGGGGAGCCATGGAATTGGAAGGGGGTTTGGGAAGAAGTGGGCAGATATGTAGAGTAATGTTAAGGGTGAGTCGGTAAAACCCTACCCAGAAACCTTCTAGGGCATACCCTATCAGTTTATCCCACAGCCTTCTATTGTTTCATCTCCACCGTATATATCAAGACTTATCCATATCTATCAGTTACTACTATCTACTCCGTATTTGACTACTTATTTCTCCTTCTAGGAGAGTCTTATGTCAATGTTCACATGAAAAATTGAGTTGTTTCTGACAAATAAAATTTCTGTGAATGACAGACATGTGTACACATTTTGTGTACTTCTAGCAAAACTCATGTTTAGATTGCCACCTTTACCAATGCTTATATTAAATGAGTGAATGTGGTTTTGGTTTTCATCGTTCCACAAACAAGGGGTGTTTGTTGTTTCGGTTTTGTCAGTTTCGGTTTTATTTGTTTTGGTTTTTGAAAGGTGAAATTGTAAACCGACAAAACTGCACTACTTGATTCAGTTTCGGTTTGATTTCGGATCGGTTAATTTCGGTCGGTTTGTGTCGGTTTTGGTCGGTGCTATCATGTCTTTGACGGTTTTGTCGGACGATTTCGATTCGGTCGGTTTTTTAAATCAAAAGGTAAAACTGTAAACCGAACCGCTAATGGTTAACCTGTTTTAGTCGGTTTCGGTTTGAGTCAGTTACGGTTTTGGTCAATTCAGTTTTCGATCGGTTTGTTGGCCGGTTTCGGTATTCCGGATTTTTGTTCACCCCTAATACAAACAAATACTCTTATGTTTCTAAAGTCTAAAGCTAATAATTGTGATATTTTCTATTTTCTAGTCATAAAAATGTAATTATTTCTTCTTTTTACAAAAATGGTACTTCTCTTTTAAACATAAAAAAGTGTAAGTTTCTTTCCTAATAAATGGAGTAATTCAATTTAATGTTTTCTTATTCTCTTTATCATTTCGATAACCACATTTTAAAACAAAAGTAAAGTCAGTAGCTGAGATTATATAGGCCAAACAAAAATGATAAGAAATAATGGGAAATATATTACTAAAACAAAGTTAAAGTCTGTGCTAGAAAAATTGTAACTATTTATTCTTCAGTGATTGATTATATTAGTAACTTTAGTGATCATCAAGATGTTCTAATTTACATTTATAGAAACTATGATGATATACTTGTAGTAACTTAAGTTATATTTTTGTTTATCACTTTTATTTCAATAATATTTAAAGAAATGCCTCAAATGAAATTTTGGTAGAGCTAGAAAGCTGACAAAATGCAACACTAAAAGATTACTTAGGTTGGTAGCCAAATCACCTAAAAACTACGGAGTATATACTGATCTAGGTTGCAAGGGGTAAATACAGTATCATCGCACTTGCTATGTCAATACTTTTTTTTATCATCAAAACAGGCCTCTACTCATATCAAAAGATTCAGGATCGTTACATCAAGTAAAGGGAAAATAAAACTGACACCAGCTAAAACTCCAACAACTACGACTGTAACCCTATGGTGAGACTTTGAGACGGTCACCCCCGAAAGAGCAACACGAATCGCTAACCATGTAGTGGGCTTGACACAGCCAAACCTGTTCCCATAGATCCAACCATACCCAATGACATAAAGAGAGGCTAAAAACTCAAACAAATTGTTAAAACCAACAACAAAGATGAACACAAGAAAATAAATGACAAACAAATAAAAATTACTAGGAAAACTTTCACGGACTCTAGCACCTCGTACAACCCATGGTGGTGGTTCAAGCGGAGGTCGGACCGTCGCTCGATTGATACCCCCTTTCAGTGGTGTACCCGCCATATGACCCAAATTCATGTCATCGAATGGAGCTTTCAGCCTCTCCATGCTAACCATGTCCCGATCATCCCTACGTATCTCTCTCGCTTCTTCCACCATCTTCTCGCTGTCACGATCATCCATCCCGAGCTACGTCCAAACCACGACAATCCGGCGCAGAGCTACATCGATTGAAAGAAACGTCGCACCAGGGCGGCGAAGTAAAAACCCTACGCGAGAGATCTCGTTAGGGAAACACTGTGACACCGCACCCGATTGTACTTGAAATTTAAAGACGATATGTATTTGATTTTCCTAGCGAATAAAATTCGTGTAATTGATCGGTGTATTTAATTAATGCATGATTAATTAAATTATATATCGGGTCCATTATATGAGAATGGGCTACCAAATATTTAGTTGGGTTATCATAATAATTATGGTAGCCAAATAAAATGCCAACCGAAGTTGATAAAAATAGTTGGACAACCCGAGCGCTATTTTGACCCGGCCGGCCAGAAATAGCAGGAATAATTGGGCGGGACTTCCTACACCCACTTGGGGTATCCTACACCCTAATTTGACTCAAATAATGAGGGAGGAGGGGCCACACATTTTGACTTGTGCGTGCAAAAGAAGGAGGGGAGCATCATGGAGACAAAGTCCACACACCCCATGTTGGACTTGTCTTGGGAGTGATTTGGTTGAGGATAGATATCCTCTCCTCTCATTTTGAGCCATACGAACCATCCAAGAGGAGGGAGAGCTCAGGGAGAAACTCTCACAAAGCTCCAGCCTGAAGGAAGCACCAACAAAGAAAATCCAAGAAGAGAAGAGTGGTGTTTGAGGTAAGAACTCAACAATCAAGCTCCTAACTAGTATTTTCTTGTACGATTTTTAAGAAATCATATGATGGATTAAACATGAGTTTATACACGTTTAAAAGCGTATAATATTGATATAAAGTGGTGGTAATTAACTTAGAAGAGTTGGGGAATCGATAGGAGCCAAAACCATCGGAAACCGCCACTTGAAGGAGGCTGTTCGTAGCTGCAGACCACGAAAGCCGCCCGGCTTTTGGTGAAAGCCGCCCGGCTTTGGGCTACTGTCCAGGATTTTTGCCTTCAATCGGCCTAGAACGGGGATTGATCGAGGGGCTTAGCAAAGGCAACTATTGTAGCACATCACAAGGTGAGGATGGCTGACTATGTTGTTTATAATCTTTGGGTTAATTTCGTAAGATTACCTAAAGTAATTAAATGTTATTTTCATGGATTATTAATGATTAATAATGCCTAAATGAAAATATTGTTGTCAATGAATAAAGGAGCATAATATACAAATTTAAGGATAAATTGTGTATGATTATGTAATATGAGCATATTGGCTTGATGAAGGGATTAACTATGAATATTATGTTGAAATATAATTTTAACTTCATATAAGGATATATAAGTGATTAAAGATTATATTTTGTATATTGATACGAACTATATTTTCAATGGAAAATTAGTTTGAGAATTGTCTATATGACTATGAACTGAAATGAGATTTTGTTGGAATTTATCCGACTAGTATAATGATACTAGTCGGGGTGTTGGAATGAAATATGTTAGAATTGATCCAAGGTTTGGATTGTAAATTGTTGAGCCTTAAGTAGTCTTAAGAGATACTAAGGTGGATAAGTGATGCTAGGGGTAGGCCTTAAGGGATACCCAAGATAAAGTGAATAATAAATTGATCCTAGGAATAGGATTGGCCTACGGGTGTATTCGGTAGTCTTTAAGGATTAACCGATAGAGTATTGGTAATTAGTAAGGACCATGGCCCTTCCCGACTCTAGAGAGCGGGGTTGGATAGCATGGACTTACATCGTGATCACGGGTTAGGGTGGAATCCGAACCGGAGACCTTACGAGGCTCCCGACAGCGGTAACACATAAGATAGGACCCCGAATGGACCTTACCTTCCTACGGGACGATGGGTATGAGTTCAGGGGCGGGATGTTGGACTCCGGCCCGGGGACCCGGTGAGGCCTCGGAGAGCGGTGACAAGTCTCGTAAAGAATGATAAGACCTACGGGCGGTGTCGTGCTAACGACGGGTATAATGAAATATATGAAATGGGCCGTGTGCCGACGAATAAATAAATTTACTTATTATAGAGATAATAAGTGGGAAATATAAATTATTATTTATATTATGATATCACCCTATTTTGAGGGTCTTAGAAATTGAAACATTGATTATACTCGGTATAGTTGTCATTGTACTTGTCAAATGCTTCCAAGTACTGACCTCCCCTTCACGGGGGAGGCCACCTCACAGTTTCAGGTAGGGAGTAGAGCTTGCTACCAGTGCCCGTTGCCTCGGGAAGATCTAGGAAGGAAGACGTGGTTCGTGCTTCCTCCGTCTCTATTTTAAAAACATTTCAATTAATGCTCATGGATATTTTTGAATGATTATTGGGGCTTGTATGCCCATGTTTGCCGGAGTGTGGCATAAACACTTGTATTAAACGTTTCCGCTGATTTCAATTGATTATTTTACATTATGTTTGTTTATGGATGTACTATTGTGAATGATATTCAAGACGCCTAGTATAGTATGGATGAGTTGGACTGCGGTTGACTATTCGTACTGTACGGCGGGTTGTTGACGTGTCCGGTAGGTCCGGGGCGTGACAATTAAGTTGGTATCAGAGCCTTAGTCCGTAAACTTCATAATGAAGCTTCAAAATTCTTTGGAAAACGATTTTGAAAACCATGAGCATAAAGTTTTGTACTTATAGAACTTTTGGTACTTGAGTTGCAAGGTCTCTAATTGTTAAGATGGTACCCTTAACAATTGGTATGGCGGTGATTTGAGCCAAAAGATGTCTTTAAGTACCTATCCGTCACTTGACATTTGATACGAGTCTAATGGCTCATTCTAAACTTCTTTCAGAAATGGAGCCAATTGGAAGAATCACTAGGAGGAACCCGACGGGCCGTGTACTGGGTGGATCCGAACGCGGCAGCCGGGGGTCCACTAGGGTGACAAGGGGAAGGGGCCGTGGAGGCCAGCAACAAACCGTGAGCGACGGTCACGTTGACACGGAGAATGAAACTTATTGGTCCTATGAGGACTCAACTTATAGGCCGGAAACCGAGCCGGTGGAAACCCCATATGATGGGGAGGATGACGACATGAGCGGGGAGAGTGACGATAATGGCACTCTTGGGAGGATTGAGGCGCTACTCGAACAATACCATCGGGAGCGTGAAGAGAGGAGGCAACGCCGAAGGCGCTGAACGGGGCAACCTTCGGGTATGGCTTCAAGAGGAGGAAGCCACAATGCATCTAGAGTCCATGTGGAACCACATGGAGGCCGAAATGATGG